TCCCTTTAATACCTCCCCCAGGCATTTATTAGCTCTTTATGCTCTCTATTGCTTACACAAGCAACCCATGTGTTTATATGCCTCTAGCCAGCCATACAACCTCTTCATATGTTATTTTCCTCAGCATATTTGTGCATCATTTGGGTGGGCATGCTGTTTACAGATTATTTGTTGGAAAAAATACAGTACTCACACACCCTTTAACCCTCATGACACCCACAGGAAACAGATAGCATCATCTGTACTAAGGAGGGCATGAGTTTTCCTCCCAAGTGATAGTCTGGTGGTATTACCATATCTCCTTATTTAGCATCAGTTCCCTCCTTCCCTGGTGGAATCCCTCCTCCACTGCCCAGCTGCTCTCTCAATCTGATCCTCCAGCCAAACTGAATAGCAGATCAACTGTCCTTAAAGAATTGTAATCTTAAACTATCAGAGCCATGTGGAAGTAACCTATAGCTTGCTAATGGAGCAAGAGTATCTGTTCACACATGAAAGCCTTTTTGTCTTTAAAAAGTTTTTTTATCCTATCAATTGATGCAGAAAAGGCCTTTGACAAAATCTAACACCCTTTCCTGAGTAATGAATGGGGCAACCACTATGGAAGGCAGTATGGCGTTTTCTCAGAAAGTTGGAAATAGAAATACCATTTGACCCAGCAATTCTGCTACTGGGAATATACCCTAAAGAACCTGTAGCTGGCACCCAAACAGATAATGGACACTCATGTTTATTGTGGCTTTGTTCACAATAGCAAAGAGTTGGAAACAACCCAAATGTCCATCAACAAACAAATGGATAGAGAAGCTGTGGTATATTCACACAATGGAATACTATGCTGCATTGAAAAATAAGGAACTCAGGAATTATTACACAAAATCAGTAACCCTGGAGGACATTATGCTGAGTGAAATATCTCAGTCACAAAAAGACAAATATGGCATTATGCCTATGCTGGGGGAGAACTAAGAAAGAGTGGATAAATAATCTACATGGCATTGAAACATGAGGGAGAGAACTGTATAAAAGCAATATATAATCAGGTATTATTGGCATAACAAGAGTCCAGAATAAGAGCTGCATAGTAGAGTGGTCTAAGGTGGGGGTGGGGCACTATATAACTGTATAACAATGAACGATCTTTTTTCACAAAGAAAAAGCAATCTGGGGGGAACGGGGGCCAGGAGGAAAATGTGCAACAATGAGCAATTGGAAATCCAAGTTCTTTATAAACTTTAAAATATCAATTAACAAGACAAAAAAAAGTCTTTCAAGACTTCTGTCTCTCAATGTTGTGGTCACGTCCACCTTTTCTCACCATATTTTATTTATAACTGGGAGGATAAAACCCAGTGTAACAAAATGTCACAATACTTGAAATATAACTGGAAGTTTCCTTTCAAATGTGAATAATATCAGAGCATCTTCTCTGGGAACCTTCCTCAGGATAAACAGGGACACCTGCCACAGTGAAAATGGAGGAAGTGAGAGCAGCTGGGTTTTGCTGGGACGGTTCAGCTCCGGCTGCCATCGTAGTGATGGGCATGGAGGACCAGCTCTCTTTGCTCCCTCTGTCCCTAGAGTAAGGGAACCACCTTCTGTGAGCCATGGCAGGAGGTAGGGTTGCATTTGGAGCTGAAAGCCCACCACGTTATCTTTCAGTAATTGTACCACTTTCATTAATTTTTTTTGCACGTTTTCAGTAATTCTGTAGTACTTTGCACTACTTTCAGTAAATAAAATATCTTAAGCAGCTGAAATCAGTCCTTGTATATCTAAGAAGGAGATTCAGATACAATCTAAATAAGGAGGAAAGGTTATTTTGTAAAGGTCTTTTTAAGCTTTAAGCAAAAGGTTAATTGTTCAACTCTAAATAAATAACTAAAAGACAAATTGAAAATGGAAAGGTTTAGTAAGTGGCATTTGTCCATTTGCTAAGGTATTGACATTTTTTCTTCATCTTTTCCTAGCTATTTGGATCAGTATTTAGATACACTTACAAGTTGGCCTATAGTTTCTTTGCTAATAATGCTACTTTGCCAGTAAGTGACTATGATTTCGCTCTTTGAATCATTGGTAGTAATATTCTCTTCCATACAAGGCCCATGTTGGGGATGTTTGTTCCTCTTGGTGTAAGTCTAACACTGCATAATTAGCATTCCAGTTTAGCAGCCTGCATTGGCCTACAGAACCATTTCTACAATCAGATTTCATTGCCATCCATCAGAATTTCTGTAAAGCCAAGGCCAAGTAATGAGATTTTGAATATTTATATATCATATGCAATATATAATTAGGATAAATGTTCAGGCTTCTGCACCCCAACCTTGTACTTATAGTGGGTTCTCTTACTACTTCTCTAGGTTTTTTCTTCCCTGGCCCTGCATTAGCACAGAGGAAAAGACAATTTGTTATATCACTGTCCCCCATTTCAGCTTCTAGAGAATGTTGAACTGCACACCAGCTATATACATTGTGATTTTTTAATAATTTAGTCTAATAATTCAGGAGGGTAAGAATCCAATATACTGGAATTATAGGGAGGAATTGTTAAGCAGAATGCCCTCTCAAAGTTAACTCCATGTACTCATACAAAGTTTGTAATGAGTATTAGTATGCTTTGGTGCACTACTGCTTTATCTCCTTCCTCACTCATACATACCCCCTAGTTTCTCAAAGCCACTCGCCTCACCTTTCCTCTTTGTGGTTTCATGCGAGACTCAATACAACAACAGACTTGTTTAGGACATCCTGCAAGACCTTCACCCTTAACTGGCTGGTGGCTAGGGACTGGGTATGTTACCTGCATTTTACTTTACTCATTTGACGAACATGTATTCTTCACAAGGGCAACTGAAGAATTGATGCCTTGGAATGTTAGTGTTGGCAAGGAGAAATGATGGCTTGCCAGAAAAACAAAAACAAACAAAATCTGTCTTGGAAAAAGTACAATCAGTGTGGTCTTCAGAGGCAAAGATGGGTGAAACTTCAGCTCACGTACTTTTGCGCATGTTGTCTGGCAGGACCAATCCTTTGAAATAGATATGATACTGGGAAAGCCATTGGAGGGTGAGAGAAAGAGAGGCAGATCCTTAAGAAGATGAATTGACACAGTAACTGTAACCATGTTAGATCTAACAGCAGCAACAATATTGTACTGTAGACAAGAGCTTGGTTCTGATGATACAGTAACAGCTTAAGATAAGCCTATGATTCTTGCTCTCCAGGATTTGCATCTAGGTGAGGAAGATATACCCAAATCAAATAAGTAGACAAGTCATTTAGTCATTAAATAAGAAGAAACTATAATAATTTTTTTTATGAAAAAAAAGGTAAAGTATTATGAGGGCACATAAGCAGGAGGTCTGTTTGGTCCTAGGAATCAAGTAGAGTTTCCATGAGAAAATAACATTTAATGCTGAATCGGTTAGGCACAAAAGTGCTTATATTAGCTTTCAGTTGCTGTTCTGACAGATTAACACAAACGTGGTGCTTTAAAATCATACCTGGACATTTATTCTCTGACTGTTCTGGAGGTCAGAAGGTCAAGATCAGTTTTACTGAAATCCTGGTGGTCACAACTCCGCACTTTTTTTTGAGTTTCTAGAAAAGACTTCCTTTCCTTGCCTCTCCCAGTTTCTGAAGCTGCATTCCATGACGTCGTGGCTCAGTGCCCCTTCCTCCGTCTTCAGAGCCAGCTAGCTGCGTAGCATCTTCAGTGCCTCTGTGGCCGACCTTCCTTACCTCCTTTGTATAGTAAGGACACTTGTGATTGTGTTTAGGACCCACTTGGGTAATCCCAATTAATCTGCCCATCCCACAATATTTAAAGCACTCACATCTGCAAAGTATTTTCTCATATAACGCAATGACAGGTATGTGGACCTGGACATCTGAGGGGCCATTATACAGCAACCCCCCCAGGTTTAAGGAACATTTCAATCAAAGGAAACAATATATATATGACCAACAATGGATGGAATGGGCAAACGGGAACAGTGTAAGGAATGGTGAGGAGCCTGAATACTGACAGAGTGATGGATGTGGGGGCTGCTGCCAGGAAGTAGATGGAGGTGAGCTAGTGCTGTGCTGAGTGCTCTATATAAAGGGCTCTACCATCTACCCAAGGAAGATGAAGATGTTTCTGAGCCATTTTGAGCAAGGCAGCGCTCTCTCAGGTGTATCCTTCACGGACGAATCTCAGCTTGTGTGGACACCAGATCACAGGAGTCAAAGAATAAGGGGTTGAGAGCCAGGTTTAGAGGCTTTGAACAGTCCTGAGCGGCCCCTTGGACTGTGTAAAAGAGTGGAAGTGCAGAGGGTAGATTTTTCTGGGTTATGCTTATTTTTTATTTATGTGACCCTGGGCCCTCAAGTAGAGATGTTGCCGAGACAGATGATTCTAGAATCAGATCTGTCTAGATTTCTTTGAATACTTTTCGTCTCTGATTTGAGTTTTCTGAAACATGATGCAACATTCATGGGTGGATTAAAATTACCAAAACCTTGAAAACAGGCATTTTTAAAGAAAATAAAGTAACTTAATCACTTCCATTGGCTAGGCAAGAGAATTGTCCCTCTTATAGACCCTTCATGTTAGCTAAGAATTTAACTTCCTGTGAAATATGCCGTAGTGGGGACACACCATACAGAGAGCAAAGTAGAATTAACTGGTTTGAGTGACTCTCTTAACTCCATTTTCTGGATGCACTCATTTCATGAAGTGACAAGGTTCACAGATACTCCCTCCCCCTTAAAGTGGATGGTGAGTTATTTGATTACTAATAGGCTGGTGTATGCTAACTAGAACTCATTCAGAAGCAATGCCATCCACACAGTTAATGCTCATAACTGCATATTCAGGATAGAAATCGGGAGACACTTAGATCATTGGTAGAAGGGGAACTAGTTGAAGTTCATGGTAGGAAATCCAGTCGCCCAGGACTGAAAAAAAAAAAAGTCTTTTGTTAGCATTATTAATTTTCTTTATCTGCAATCAGACATGTGACCGCCTGAAACAGTCAGCCAGCGGGACCAAGCGCCGTGTGTTTATCATCGAGACTATGGGCGGCTACTGCGGCTACCTGGCCAACATGGGCGGCCTTGCTGCTGGCGCCGACGCAGCCTATATTTTTGAAGAACCATTTGATATCAGGGACCTACAGGTAAGTAATGGAAACCCAGGCTCTAGAATTCATTATGCACTGCTCTAAGTCATAGTTTGAAGGAAGGGAGAGAACATTGTAAAATATACCAACTTTTTTGCTTGTCAAATTAGCCGTCTCATTGAATCCAGTGAAGCTAATGGTTGCATATACTTTTAGTACTGGGAGCTGTTTTGATGGGTGAGGCACAAAAAGTTTGGATGGTGTGACCAAGACTCAGGCTACTATTTATTCCTTCTCATCTAAGCTTTAAATTATTTTGTCTATTTCATGAACTGTTTTCCCTGCCATGTAGTTAAAGTGTTTCTTACACACGTAATAAGTCATTGAGGATATCTGCTTGGGATTAAGCAGTTCCTTTAAACAGTTGATGTGGATGACTCTGGATTCCTCTTAAATTTGGAGAAATGACTAAAAACAGTCCCAGGCTTCTGGTGTCTGTGAAGCTGAGGTTGGAAATATTTGCAGTAGTTGGAAAACACTCTACAGAACACTGTGTCACCTGCCAAAAGGGAGCAGTTACTTTCCACTGTAAAATGCTAAATTTCATTAGGGAACGATTTTGAGATGCAAACAGAGGAGGCTAGAGCTGCTGGAAAAAGAAGAGTACACTGAGCACTGTAGCTTGCTTGTGTTCTAGATTGTAAGGGAAGGAAACGGAAGCATGCTGCTAATTAAAATAGAGGCCAAATTTCACCCTTGCCAATCCCTGTGGCATGCTTTTTAAAAAATGTATGGTTGCTGATACCTTTCAGGGATTTGTTTTCATCTGAATTGACAATATTGCAAAGGAGGAGGATTGGCTCCTTGGAATCCTCACGTGGTTTTTTGGTTATGGGCTGACTCAGCTGCATCTAACTTTTCTTAGTTGATCCTTCCTGGAGCCACCTCACCAGCTCAGAATATGGAGGCCAGCATCTCCCACACATCACTGGGCAGAAGGAAAGAAGATTGAAGGAGTTAAAGGAGCAGTGTGTGTCTAACAAAGCTCACTGAGTCGTTCACTGGAACCCACTCTTAGCTGACTCTCCAGTACATGTCCAAGGCTCTAAATTGTACAAGAAGAGATTGCCCATTTTTCTCCCAAAGAGGTGCTTGGTGAATTCAAACCACCTGCCTGAGATGCTTGGTCGGGGTTTCTGGGGCAACTAGGATGATGTTATTGCAACCTTTGCCATTCTCACTCTTAACCAGTCATGAAGCAACAGGAAGGAAACTTTGAGTTATTACCAGTATTTTCCAATTTTATCCCTACTCTTGAGCCATCAAAGTTGGAGTGACATCATTTCCTTCAGATTGGCATTGTATTTTTTACCATCTTGTTTTCTTAGTTTTATCACTTATTCCTAAAGTTTTTCTCATAACACCTTTATCACTGTCTGATACACTGTTTGCCCATTTCCCTGTCCCTCTAAAATAGAAGAGCGTTGCTTTTTTTAGTCACGGATATTCTCAGCATGGATGGTCATATAGGACTGCACACTGAAGGCCCTTAATATTTTACTGTCTGATTAACAAAGTGCTCTCTTCTAGTCCAATGTGGAACACTTGACACAGAAAATGAAGACGTCCATTCAGAGGGGAATTGTACTGAGGTAATGAGAAATAATTTCTCATTTTACTTTCATTTTAAACCTAAATTGTTAGACTCTATTTTAGGATGTGAAATGAGCAATCATTCTTTTGCTACTGACTCCTGTTATGGATATATGAGGGAGGGAGGATAAATAAAAGTAATTGTTCAATGTATTAAAACTTGTATACATTTTTAAATAATTAAAGGATATTTAAAAAATGTTATTTCTTCCAACCCTTTTGCTTTTTAAAGATATCTCGGGATCCTTTCTTTAATTAAGTCTGTATCCTTTGTCAGGAAAGCAAACACTATGTAGAGTCACATAAAGGTTCGGAGGACTAGCAAGGGCCCCCCAACCCTGTCAGGAAACACCTGGCCTTTCCCCAGAGCTGAGCAAGCTGTGCTATTTGGGCAGGAAACATCACCCAAAATTCTAAGCTGCATTCTTTATTGAGTAAAATGAACTTCCTCTTCATTCCAGAAATGAGAACTGCAATGACAATTATACCACAGACTTCATTTGCCAGCTTTATTCTGAAGAAGGAAAAGGAGTATTTGACTGCAGAAAGAACGTGCTGGGTCACATGCAGCAGGTAGGTGACAGCCGTCCTGCTGGTCTTTTGCTGTTGACAAGTCAGCACCCATTCATGGCAACTGCACTTGCAATGGGATCAGACCATTGAGACACATAAGCTTCCCAGTCACTGATTCCGGAGAGTCGATTGTCAAGCCTTCTTTCCTCATGCATCTCAGTCAGAAACATGGCTGGCACCTGTTCAACATCATAGCAACATGCAAGCCTCCACCGACAGATGGTGCCTGGTACACTGGCTGGGAAGGGGGCTCAGCTCTTCCACATAGGTGCCAAGGTTCCACCACTAAACCATCACTGCCCCGTGTGCCAGCATTACTTTCCAACGATGCCACAAAACAGAAAGTCTAAATTTTATGTTCTTAATTGATGCCTTATCCTAGACATTAATGGGGGGCAGGGACAGAGTAATTCTAAAATGGCTAGAAAGAATATTTGAGCTGTTCTGTGAATCCACTTGAAAGTTACATCAGATATCACCAGGAATGGTGTAATACTTAGATATCTGAATATTTTGTGGGAAATCATCATCACCTGCCATATAGTGATATTGGTTAAGTGGAAAAGCTTAATCAAACTGAATACTTCACTGAGTTAAGTACTGGCATGTAATAAAACTTGAGATTACTGGATAAATTATTCTGATTTATAATTTAAATTAGAGTGCTTTTGAAAGGATCTTGAGATAGTAAACTCTTATTTTATGGTTTATAAATGTTCCTAAAATCACAAACAGGAAGTTCTGGTCACCTATTGAGTCAAGAAAGGCACTACCCAGATGTCCAACCACAAACGGATGGCTTGAGAAATTGTGGCACATTCATACAATGGAATACTACGCAGCATGCAGGAACAATCATTTTGTAAATTACTAGCTAACTTGGGAGGGACTGGAGAGCGTTATGCTGAGTGAACTCAATTCCCACAAGGACAAATACTGTATAAAACCATTACAGTAGAATGAGTATGAGGATCCAAGGAGGGGGGGTAGGGTGGGAATAGAGGGGTGAGGATGGAGGGGTAGGTGTTAATCACAGGGTTGCACAATTCGATGGGTAGGTGGGGTGATGCTCTGGAGGGTCAGCTGTCAGTCCCGATTTGATGGCACATGATAATACAACACATAAAAATCACAAAGCCTGGCAGAGCTGGTCTTGGGGATAATGGTTCCCAGCTCTCTTCATTTGAAGCTTGTATTCTTTCCACTATTACCTCTCATTCCTATTTCAGAGAATTTCTAACTTTGGGTTTATTACTAATTTCAAAACAACCATGAGTCCCCTGAAATGAAATGATGAAAGGCTATATTTACTTTTCATCAATGGGATATTTACTTTTCATCAATGTAAGTTCACAGTGTTTATCAGATCCCTAAAGGGAATTGTTGACTTTCCCAAGAAAAGTTTAAGGACTTCTGATTAGAAGAGTATAAAACATGAAGATGGTTAAAATCTGTGTCGTCCTAACCGGGACAGAAAACACTGTGATCCTGGGCCAAATAGCAACCAGAGGCTTCTGTATTCTGGGTTTACACTTTTGTTTTGGTGGCCTAAAGTATGAAAGAAGAAAGAAATGTTGGTTTTTGTTTTTTTTAAAAAAAGCACATTTGGAAATTTTAGTCTCTTTAAAATAAATACAGTGTGAATTTTGCCAAGTAATAGAAACTTTCATATGATAGCTCATTTTTTATATTTTTTAGGGATTGGTCTGGCAAGCATTGTTGGATGACTAATGCTTTTTATAAATTTTACTGTCTATAGGGTGGAGCACCTTCTCCTTTTGATAGAAACTTTGGAACAAAAATGTCTGCCAGAGCTATGCAGTGGATTACTACAAAACTCAAGGAATCGCCAGTACCAGGTACGAAGGCACGGCGTGTCTGGACACAGTGATTAGGACTGCAGCAGGCTCTCTTAGAAATAACTCTGTTCTACAAAATAGGGTATTTGTTCTTTTTCACTTAACATTGAACTGAATATGATAAAATGTGCTGATCTTACTTACTAGTGAGTGTTGCTATTTATGATTTTCAAGATAATAATTAAAATAGAATTAATAAGTCTTACCCACCCCCACCCAAAACCCCAGACTTGCTGCTATCACAATGATTCCAGCCAGTGAAGCCCACTTTCCACAGAGCACAGCAGGTCTAGGGCACTCCCTTGGCCTTCCTGCTCTGTGCTGCTGGGAGGGTTTCAACTGGCAAACTTTAGTTTGGTAAATGCTCACTAACCAAACTCAAGGCTGAGGAGTCAGTTCCAACTCACAGTTACCCTAACTATGGAGTCGAGTTCTCCATGGAGTTACAAGCTGTAAATCCTTACAGCCCAAGGTAGTAAATGTTTCCGGAAGTAGACTGCTCTGTTTCCTTCTGCTAAGGGGCTGGTGGGTTCTGTCAACCTGATGGTCAGTAGCCAAGTACTTAAATCACTGTGGCACCATGGCTCTTTTTTAGGTTAACTGAGGACTACAAACTATTTCCACCACCTAAATGCTTAAGTCTTCTTATCAGTAATGGCAGACATTCAAGTAATTTAGTACACTCTCTTAGAAAGTTGCTGTGCACATATTAGACTCTTATGAGTAAGATAGTAAAATGTGATTTTTTTTAAATTTGGTTTTATTAGTCACATGCATCACTTTCTTTGAACTAGCTTTAAGATGTTTAGACTGATTAAGTGAGATTAGTCAGTACTATTATTTTTTTTTATTAGTATTAATTTCAACGAACATTTACAGAGATTTTGGATATTGTTGTACTTTTCTTCCCTCTCTCCCCACCACCACCCCCAGTTCGCTCTTCTCTTTGCAAAAATAAAAGAAAAATTCTTTTATTGGTATACAGTCCCCCCACACCCTCCCACCCCCACCCCGAGTATACTCCACTCTACAACCTTCATTCTGGACTCTTACCTTCATTCTGGACTCTTATGATAATCATAATGCCCTATAATATATTGCTTTTAAACTGTTCTCTCCCTCATCCCTTTCAATGCAGTATACATAATTCATCCAGTTTTTCTCGTTCTTACCCCAACCCTGCCAATTCCTTTCGATACAATGACTCAGTATATTCTTTCTATCTTCTTTTAATACTTCCTGGATCATTTAAAATTCTGCCTAAAGCATCCTTGATTATAGCAATTCGAGGTTTGAATTTGTTCTTCAGTTCCTTGAGCTTAAGAAATGCTGAGCGAGTTCAGCCCTTTTGATTTTCTGACTCCAGCTCCTTGTACATTTCATTATAATATTTTACTTTGTCATCCCATGCTGCCTTTTGAAATCTCCTGTTCAGGTCTTTAGTATCTTGAATTTTTCCTTGTGCTTTGACTTCTCTGTGCTCCAGTGCAATATACAGAGTTTCTTCTGACATCCATTTTGGTCTTTTCTTCCTCTTCTGTCTTTGTAATGAACATTTGCTCTCTTCTTGGATGATACCCTTGAGATCCTCCCACAACTCATCTGGTCTTCGCTCATTCGGATTCAAGACCTCAAATCTGTTCCTGAGTCATTGTATTGAAAGGAATTGGCAGACACAGAAGAATTTAATGAAACAACATATGAGCAAGAGCCTATGGTGATGAAGGAAGAAGTTCAAGCTACTTTGAAGGAAATAGCAAAAAATAAGGCCCCAGGAATAGATGGCATACCAGTTGACATATTTCAGCTAACAGGTGCTGCCCTGGGCGGGCTCACCAAGCACTTGGGCAACTGACTGAAAGGGATCTATATTTGTTCCCATTACAAAGAAGGGTGACCCAACAGTGTGAAAACTAGAGAACAATATCATTGATTTCACATGCAAGCAAGATTCTACTGAAGATTATCCAAAAACGACTGGAACAGCACATGAGCCAGAAGTCCAGGCTGGGTTTAGAAGGGGTCGTGGTACTAAAGATATTGTAGCTAATGTTAGATGGATCTTGGCTAAAAGCAGGGAATACCAGAGGAATGTCTATCTGTGTTTCATTGATTATGCAAAGGTGTTTGACTGTGTAGACCATAACAAACTGTGGCTGACTCGGAGAATGAGAATCCCAGAACATTTGATCTTGCTAATGGGAAACCTATACTTGAACCAGAATGCAGTCATCAGAACACAGAGCAGGAAAACGCAGGCGCCAGGGATGTGTCCTGTCTCCATACTTTTTCAACCTGTGTGCAAAACAGATCATCCAGGAGGATGATCTATGAGGAGAAATGTGGGGTCAAGATTGGTGGAAGATCTATCAACAGTCTGTGTTATGCAGATGACACAACCCTGCTTGCTGAAACTGAGGAGGACCTGAAGCCCTTGCTGCAAAGTGTCAAGGATTACAGCCTCCAATATGAATTGAGGCTCAATGTCAAGAACACAAAGATTCTCACCACTGGACAAATTGGCAGCATCAGGATGGATGGTGAAGAGATTGAGATTATTCACAGCTTTAGTCTGCTTGGCTCCACAATCAACATTCTTGGCACCAGCAGCCAGGAAATTAAAAGACATATTGCGATGGGAAAGTCTGCTGTTAGGGACCTCTCTAAAGTACTGAAGATCAACAGTGTCTCTGGTGACAAAGGTGCGTCTGGTACAGGCCATGGTCTTTGGAATCACTTGTTGTGCATCAGAGAGTTGGACAATGACTAGGGAGGATAGAAAGAGAATTGATGCCTTTGAGCTGTGGTGCTAGAGAGGAGTACTGAATGTACCGTGGACTGCTAAGAAAACAGATTCATCCTTGAGCGGGTTAAACTGGACAGCTCCTTAGAGGCAAGGATTCTGAGGCTTCGTCTGACATACTTTGGACATGTTGTGAGGAGAGACCAGTCCTTGGAGAAGGACATCATGCTTGGGAGGGTGGGGGGACAGCGCAGGAGGGGAAGGCCCTCTACAGGCAGATTGATTCAGTGACTGGTCTAATAGGGATGAGTGTGTCAGAGACAGTGCGATTGGCACAGGACAGAACAGAGTTTAGGGCTGTTGTACATAGGGTCGCTATGAGTCGCAAGCAACCCAACTGTACATAGCAACAACAACCCCAATCCTGATGTCAGTCCAATTCTACAGCAGTGGCACTATGCAGTGTTTGTCCTTTTGAGACTGAGCACTACTATTATTGTAGAAAATCAGCACAAGATTGAGAAGTATCTAGTCTGCTTTCTTTTCTCAACACCTTCAGGGTGTTCCCGTGTGGTAATGGTTTACTTCTTCCCCACCAGAAGGTACCCCAACCTGAATTCTAGAATCATTCCTTGGTTTTCCCTTGAAGTTTTACATATCTATGATTCTATCATTTTTTTAGTTGAGCTTGTTCCTTTTCTTTATATAAATGGAGCCTGTGAGATGTATTTCCCATGACTTGCTTTTGGCATTGGTTAGGTTTCTGAGATGCAGCCATGTTGACGCATAGTGTTAGTTCATCACATAGCCCATTCCCTAGTTATGCTTACTGATTCTAACCCTTCAGTGCTTCTCAGTCCTATGTTAACACAAACATATGTTCCCTGGGGCTCATGTACCCTTGTACTTTCCATCCTCTTTGCCTGTACCCATGAATGGAATCACTGGGTTATTAGTGTAAACACAGGCTCGGGTTTACCAATTTTATGCAGACTTGGCAGAGTATGAGATTTCCTGTTCTTCTATAACTTCCTTGATACAGGCTGGCTCTGTTGTCTGTTTAACTCATTATTGTTAATTCGAACTCCAGATCACCTCTCAGATTTCAGAGGTTATATTTCTATTGGAGTTTCTCTCCAATAAAATCTTGAGCAGATGAAGTAATAGCTGAACTCTGCTGTTGTTTTACTCTTGTCCTTAATTAGAATAAAGAATACTTTGTCTATCATGATTATTTGTCTTTAAGAGATGGTCACTATTGGGTATTCATTTAGTCATGTAAAGATATTTCATAAAATAGTTTTCATCAAAAGATGATTATGTCATTTTTCTTCATTAACGTGTTAATGTGGTACACCACTTTAACTGAATATTCAAATGTAAACCAACCTTGAACTCCTGGGATAAACTGTTGGGTCATATCTTTTACTACTCATTGCTAGATTCAATGATTGTGGGCTTATATAATTAAAGCTCTTTTTGGAAATATTAGCATTTAATTTTTTTTTTTAGCATGGTGGGAGATCTTTTATAGAACTCCCCAATAAAACTGTCCACGTGGACCTTTTATTTGTGGGAGGATTTGCCCCCTGGTGAATTTCTTTAATGTTTACAGAATGAACCATCATGGTTTTGTGGGTTTTTCTCCATTCTTGAATTAGTTTTATAAGTTCCATTTTTCTGTTCATCTACATTTTCAAAACACTTGGCCTAGTTTTTTGCCATGTCTTCTAATACCCACAGCAGTTCAGTTCCCCATTTCTTGCCTTCTATTGATTTTCTGTACCAGTATCTTGACCACAATCTCTCCTTCCTCATTTTTCTGGATCACTCACATACACGTTTGAGTGTGCGTGATAAATCTTGTACATAGTGAGATATAAACGTGGAATTTGTTGTATAAAACAAGCAACTGACTTTCAGTAATTTCAAAGAAGTGACTTTTGGTTTTGATTTACTCTACTAATAGTTTTTTACATTCATTTCTGTTTCACTTTGCAATTCTTCTTCCCATTTCTCTAGGAACGCTTATTTCATGAATTTTCAGCTTTTTATACTTTATGCATTTTATGCTCAGTTTTCTGTTATTGTTGAGTACCGATGAGTTAGAACCGATCCATAGTTGCCTCTGGGACCAGAGGGTTTTTCAGTCAGTTAATTGCACAGTAGGAGATTGCCCATCATTCTCTCACAAAGCAGCTGGTAGATTTGAGCTGAGTGCCTTCCGGATTGCAGTGGTTTCTTACTACTAGGTCACTTCAGAATTGTTTTTCTTATGAAATAAGAATTCTAACTCTGCTGATACAGCAGTTTAAGCATGAGCTGAAGTTGGGGATTGGACCCCACTGGCTGGTCTGCAGGAGAGTGAAGCAATCAGCTTCTGTAGAGATCATATCCCTGGAAACCCAGTCAGTGTGTCTACCCTGTCTTACAGGATCACTGTCAATCAGAATTGACTCGGTGGCAATGATCCTACTTTGTTATGATGATGCCTGCTTAGTAATGTCCCAGTGTGTGCTGTTTTTGCCACAACCCTTATCTGTTTTCAAATTCATTATTCACTATTGCCTTCTCTGTTATACTGCACACCCTTGTCCTGAGATTCAACAGCTGCTACTGCATGCTGGGCCACCATCATCCTCTTTGTGCCCAAATCATATAGTTTACTATCTCTGTAATAGGAGCTCTGATGGTGCAGTCTGTGGGGAGCTGACCTGCTGATCTCAAGGCAGCACCTCTCTGATGGTTCAGATCTCCCAGTAGATCTGCAGGAGAGACTGTAGCCTCCTGCCATGTGATTTAGTCTCCAAACACTCGCTGGAGGGTCAGCTATGAGTCAGTTCCACTTCCACACTAGTGAATTTTCTCTTCATAGTAAACAGATCAACCCAGAAGGTTGGCAGTTTTTAAGACTTTGTATCATTTTGGGCTATTTCCAGTGGGATGGTCAGTTTTGACCCTGGGCTTGCAGCCTAGAACTGCCTCATGAGGTTTTCACAGCCGTGATCTTTGGTAGTGGGTTTCCAGGCCTATTTCTGGAGGAGGTGCCTGTGGATGGGTTCTGATGGTCAACCTGCTACTTGTCTTGTGTGCTTAACCCTTAGGACCTCAGAGACTCTGTGTCTGTTATGGGACAGAGGAAGTAGACTTTACACTTTCTCCTCAATTCCTATGCAAATTTCATTTTATCTTCCTAACATTTAAGACAGCCTTAGGATTATCATGACTGTAAATATCCTGTTTATCTAACATTAATCTTTCTAAATTTTAAACTAATTTTCCTATTCCATCATTTAGTGAAATATTTATTCACTACCAACTGTGAGAAATAGCTTTTTAGTAAGAACAACTTACTGGAATTGGTAGCAAAATTGCTGTTAAAGGGCATGCAAATTTCACCCACGAGGCGATTCCATTAAACAGTGAGTTTCCATCATGGTCCAGGCAGTTACTCACTTTGATCTCCCTTCTCTCCTAATCCTGAAGGGACCAAAGGAAGCCTAAAAGGTAACAAGCAAGGTGAAGCAAAGTGCACTGGGAAATTCTATTTTATTAATATCCTTGTTCTGGTGGTTATCAGCCAGTGACTAAAGGACTGTTTGTTGAATGTAATCTACATCAAAACCAAAGACATTATCAAGTCATTTGTGGCTCATAGCAACCCCATGTGTTAAGAGAACTGTACTTGCTGGGTGATCTTGGCTGTAATCTTTATGAAAGCACATGGTCAGGCCTTTCTTCTATGGAGCCACTAGGTGGGATCAAACTACCAACCTTTAGATTAGCAGCAACTAAGCTGAGATGGTCACAAGCTGCTTCTACCTCTCAGCCTCTTGAATCCTGACCATCAATCAGAATTACCAAGAGTACTGGCTGATGGAATCTAAACTTTTGATCTCATCAATGTAATTTTTGTTTCTGAAACAAGCAAGACTTCTTTCTTCTGTGACCTTTCTCCTTTTTTACACATCCCATTTTACATGTTCCTCAGTATGTTCTCTTACCATTCTTTTTCCCTATTTACTTTCATAGGAAAAAAGTTTGCAGATGACGACTCAGTCTGTGTGCTGGGAATAAACAAAAGAAACCTGATTTCTCAATCAGTGGTAGAGCTAAAGAAGGACACGGATTTCGAGTAAGTAAATGAGTGAAACATTCTAAGTTTTATTGTTAGAATAATGGGAGGCATGAAGGGATTATAGTCTAGTAGTATTTTAAGGAGAACTCAGTTACACATTTTAAGCAATATATTAGCTTTTTTGAAAATAAATTGAAAAATACTCAGCCTTTAGAAATGGGGCAGGACTTTGAGAAATAGAAACAGAATGGTTTCTGTTACCCTAAGGAAACTGCTTTTTTTTGGTTACCAGAGTTGATTTTGGTTACTCTGCAAATACCATGTTCTCAAACATGAGTAGGAGAGAGGCAGTCAAGAAAATTGTCTTAAAATGACGGGTATAATCATTGCTGCTGGTTTTTCTCCCTTCACAGACACAGAATTCCCAAAGAACAGTGGTGGTTGAAACTGCGGCCTGTAATGAAAATTTTGGCCAAGTACAAAGCAAGCTATGATGTTTCTGATTCTGGCAAGTTGGAGCATGTACATCGCCGTTCGCAAGAGGAACCTGAAGGGATTTAAATACCTGTATCTTCATCCTGACATTAGAACTACACTGTATGTTTTGTCATGTTTAAGAATTTAATGTTCACTGACCTTTTTTGTAACATTTAAGTTATTTCATCAGCACTTTATGCAAGTATTGTTGACATTGACATTTAGTTAAGAGTACCAGTCACCAATATCCATACAGGTACAATCATAAAAATAAAACATTGCATATACTGTACTCACTTTACTGTATGTTGTCTATTGCACTTAGTACTTTGTGTTATGCTTTAAAATGTGCATATCTAGTGGAATTAGTCATTTATCTAAAACTCAAACTAGATGCATGAAATATTCAGCATTCTGAGTTAGTCATCAAAAAAATGCTTATCAAAACCATAATGAGATACCATTTCACTCCTATTAGCATAACTAAAACAAAACAAGAACAAAAACCCAGAGAGGCAAAATCGGCAAAGATGTGGGAGATGAGAACTCTTATCCATTGCTGGTCGTGATGCAAAATGACAGAGCTATCGTGGAATTCCCGTGTGACCTTTCAGGTTCATCCTTAGGTAGAAACTCAAAACACTTACAGGTAGAGATGTGTACACCAGTGCCCACTGTAGCACTACTTAACAGTAGCCAAAAGGTGGAAACAACTTGAATGCCTGTCAGCAGATAAATGGATACACAAAATGTGGCACTTACACACTATGAAATACCACTCAGCCAACAGAAGAAACAAAATCTTGTCAAGATGCTACATATGGATGGAGCCTGAAGCTATTATGCTGAGTAAAATAAGCCAGTTACAAAACTATGCCTATGAAACCATCAGTGGTAACAGCACCTTGAATGACTGGAGAAACAGTAGGGAGCAGGGAGTATATGTTCACAAAGGAAGAAAACCACAGAAAGGAGGGCAAGAATGATTGCACAGCCTGAGAAGCGTACTCGACAGTACGGAACTGTACGTGTACAAACCTGAATCTGTGTATTTTGATGTGTATATGCTTAACAAAACAAAATAAAGAAAATTTTAGAAAACTCAAAAACTCTATGGAGCATAGTTCTACTCTGACACACATGGGGACAATCATGAGCAGAAGTCAGTGGCCAGTGATTTTCAAACTTCTATTTAAGAGTTAATACCCAATGTGGACAGAGAGTGGGGTGGAGCTCCTGGATTAAAAAGAAGCTTGGAAGGAGGAGTGGCGTCCACTTCCGTAATAGCTTACCTCCGGAAACCCTATGAACCTGGAGAAAGGATGAAAGGCACCCAAGCGTCCAGGACTCTCCTTCATAGGGTTGCTATGAGTCGCCTGCGACTCGACGACACTTAGCAACAACATGATTAAAAGTTACTGGATGAGGTTAAAGATTTTTGGTTTGTGTTCTTTTATTAATTCAGTTAAGCTATTTAATGCTAGTTTCACATTCTCCATTTAAAGTTATAAAAAAGAATTCAAGCTTTTTTTTTAAAAAAAGTGAACTTATGCCTTCAGTTAGGGACCTCTCCAAATTATTGAGGACTAATGATGTCAGTTTGAGGATGAAGGTGTGTCCGATGAGCTGGACAATGAATAAGGATGCTAGAAAAAGAAGTGATGCCTTTGAGCTGAGGAGTTAGAGAAAAGCACTGAACATCCCAGGGACGGCCAAGGAACAGATGTCTTGCAGAGAGGGTGCAGCCGCAGTGCTCTTGGGAGGCAAGAATGAGGAGGCTTCACCTCACTCACTTAGGGCATGTTGTTAGATGGTGCTATTGCTTGGAGAAAGACATGGGGAAGGGTGGAGGGTTGGTGAAGGAGAGGAAGACCCTCAACCATGTGGATTGATATGGTGACTGCTGCAGTGGGCTCTTTTGTGTGAAGAAGTATGAGGACAGTGCAGGACAGAACAGGGTTCAGATGTAACGTTCATAGGTTCGCCATGAATTCTACTCGACTTGATGACACCTAACAACAATAACAACATGCCTTTAGAATAACAAACTCTCATATACTTTTTATTTTAATTATAGATAAACTAGAGTCTTTTCAAAAGAATTTCTGATGTCCTAGTTTTCTTCTAAACCTGTTAATTCACTTACTGTGGTTCTTGGGATGTGAATTCTCCAGATGATTCTGGCGTGTTCCCAGAGATAGTTGGCTCTGATCTAGATATTGGCTGTATCAAGATTGGAGGCAAAGAGATCATATTCTAGTCTTCTGGTACAAAAATCACAGAGAAGGAAAACAAACTGGGTGACAGCCATATTACCCTGAGGGGTGTTAAAAGGAAAGCAAACTAAATCTATGATGGGTCTTAACTACCATAGTTTTTTTCCCCTCTTTATTCTCTCAGATCTCCAGGTTGAGGGCCATGATCTCCCCATAAGTGTTGGGCAATGGATCATAGGAGCCAGCTGCTCCACGAAGCAGCAATCCCTGGCATGCTTGTTGAAAGCAACCACAATGCTGTGCTGGTACAACCACCTAGGGGTAGGTGGCCACCATGCTAGGACATGCAGAGGAGGGTCGTGAGGTGGACCATGGCACACTCGGCTTGCAGCCAGTTCTGTCTGCCAGTCATTACCCTCGGATCATGTCACTGTCCACACCAATGTCCTCTACAGCTTCATGGGAGGCGCGGGATCAATGAGCAGGCCTAGTGCCATCAAAGCAAGGGCCTCGCGCCCGCTCAACAAGACACCAGCACCATGGCTTGCAGAGCTGATAATTACAAACCCTTTTTAAGAATACAAAAGGCAAAAACAGATATTGGAAGAGACTCTGAAACTTGCTCTTCCACATGGATAAACCAAAATAAAGGGAAGAAATGCTGAAGTAAGACAACTGAACAGAAGATTTCAAGGTTTTATAAGGAAATGAGCAAAGACCAGGTGTTAGGAAACCAAAAGGGAGGATAGGATCATGCTTGGCATTTCTCAGGTTGAAATAATTGGAGAACAAATTCAAATCTTGACCCACAATATGAAGGATTCTGTGGACAAAATCTTGAATGATATAGGAAGTATCAGAAGATGGAAGGAATACACAGAGTCATCTTACCGAAAAGAACTGATAGACACGGAACTATTTTAGGAAGTACCATATGGTCAAGGGAGCTCTGATGGCCTAGAGATAAGAAGCTGAGCTGGAAACCCGAAGGCACGTAGTTCAAATCCACCAACTACTAGGACAATCTCCTCCCATGCAACTAACTGTTTCTGAAAACCCACCGGAAGGTCAACTATGGGTCAATTCTGATTTGATGGTACTCAACCACCACCACCACCACCATATGATCAAGGACTAGTGGTACTGGAGGAAGGAGTTCAAGTTGCACTGAAGGCATTGACAAAAAAATAAGCCTAAGGAATGGATATCACTTGGGGTGCTTCAGGAAACTGATTTAGCCCTAGACTTGCTCACAACTCTATGCCAAGAAATTTGGAAGAGATTTGCCCAATTGACTAAAAGGATCCATATTTTTTCCCATCCCAAAAAATTAAAAGTGATCCAATAGTGTACACATTGCCAAAAAATATCAGTAATATCATATGCAAGTAAATAACTGGAACGGTACATTGACAGAGAACTGGTAGAAATGAAAATTTAATTCAGAAGAGTCCGTGGAATGAGTCTTTGTCAGATGGGTCTTTGCTAAAACCAGAGAATACCAGAAAGCTATTTACTTGTGTTTTATTAGATACAAAAAACTATGTGACTCTGTGTATCATAATAAATTGTGGATAACTGGAAAAGAGTGAGAATTCCAGAACACTAAATTGTGCTCATGCAAAATCTATATACATAGACCAAGAAGCCCTTGTGTGAACAGAACATGGAGATATGTCAGGGTAATATACATCCTTTCTCCTTACCTAGTCAATCTGTATGCTGAGCAAATAACTTAAAAAGCTAGACTCTGTGAAGAAGGAGGCATTGAGATTGGAGGAAGTCTTACCAACATCCTGTATTATGCAGATGATACAACTTTGCTTGTAGAAACTGAAGGCTTAAAGCACTTACTGAAGAAGACCAAAGACTTTAAACAGAGATGTAGATGAAGAATATTGAATATCTCATGAACTGGCAAAAGAACAAACAAATCTGTGTTGGAGGAAGTGCAACTAGAGTGCTCCTTCGAGGCAAGGATGGTGAATTTTCATCTTACAAACTTGGAGAATGTTGTCCGAATCGGCTAGTCCTTGAAAACAAGACTCCATGCTGGGAAAGTGGATGGGTCAGAGAAAGAGGAAGACCCTTAAGGAGATATCTAGGCTCAGTGACTGCAATGGGCTTCAACAAAGCAGAGAGCTTGAGCATGGTATAGGACAGAGCAAGCTTTCAATTTGTTGACATTGGGTTGTATTTCAGCTTGTTGACATTAGATTATATTTCAATTTGTTAACATTGGGTATATTTCAATATGTTGATATTGGGTTGTATTCAATGGCACCTCACCTAATAAAATACACTGAGAAAATCTAAAAAAAAAAAATAAATAAAAATAACATCCAAACAGATATGGGAAAAAAAAAGTAGGTCAGGAGGGAGTACATATAAGGAATGTATATGATTAAAAAAAAACTTTGTGAAGGAAATTATGGCAAAATGGTGGAGAGCAAATACTTTCTATATGAAAAATTCCAAGTGTATAACAGATAAGAAACAGATCCCTTATGTAATGAAAAAATTAAGCTTAATGTTTATTAATCCAAAATACACTTAGTTCTCAAAACATGGTAATAAAAAATAGGAGTCTCTTATTTCTGTCAGGCTGCCTTGTTTAACAAAGGTAAAAAATACTTTTTGAGCACAAAACATAATTTAAAAGAACAGATAAAACAGGTCAAGTTGCCTTTTATTTAAAAAGTATTTGAAATAACATGTCCTGGGGCAAATAAAGTATGTCACGAGAAAGTTTTACAATTAAAATTTGTGGTTTTTATACATCTTTGGCATTTAACACATGATTATTTCAATTAATAATTTTTTCATGGTCACTATATTTTTTCAAGTTGAAAAAATTTTGGCCTTACT